TCAAGAGAGTCTTCTTCGTGCGCCGGCTATCAACAAACAAATGCAAAGAATATAATGATAAGCAGTGGCCCCTAAAGGCATGCAGATACAGCAGAAGCAACAAAACAATACATACATCGACAGCAGCACTAACTGCAGCAACTTTCCTTTGATAACTTCATCTAAACAAAACCAACAAAGAGTTCAGGCTGCACAAAACGAAACCCTACATATCCGTACATAAATACATACATATCTTAATAAATATATATATATATATATATACATATGTATATATAATATATACATGCATATATACATATTTGTATATATAGGGTTTTGTTTATATATATGTATACATCTATATATGTATATATAGGGTTTTGTTTATATACATATATATATATATATATATATATATATATATATATAAACAAGTGCCCTTGAGGTGTACAGACACCTCCAATACACCGCTTCTTGACGAATGCGCACAGCAACCGTGCAAACAAACTTCTTAAAGCATATAATGCATTTAATTGAGAAGAAAAAAAGCAAAGAAAGACAACAGGTGCTCTGTAGTGCAGGCAAGCAAATACAGCTGCATACCCTTAGGGGCCCCCGTGGGGGGCCCCCTTAGGGGAAGTGTTAATATAAGGTGTGTCTGTGTCTTTGTATACATATATATCTATATATGCATGCGTGTGCTGCTCTTATTATATATATTTCCTTTTATTTATTTGTTTGTTTGTTTATCTTTGCCTTGCTACTTTGAACTAACCGCTTTTTCGTGGGGAAGGCGATTTGCTTATCTTAGTGTTGCAGCTGGGGTGTATAGGCAGCTAGCTTTGCTTCTCTTACTAGGGAGCAGCAGAAGCTGCAGCAGAAGGTTCAGGGCCCCTGAGGTGTCTGTACACCGTAGGGGCCTCAGTGTTGTCCTATAGCTGCTTGCTTCTGTTGCTGCTTCGCAGACTGTCTCCTTGCTTCTATCTGTGCTGCTGTGTCTACTTCTGTTCTTCGCTGCACTTCTTTGCTGCTTCTCTCGTCAAACATCAGAAGCTGGCTGCATGCATCTCCTCACAAGGGGGCCCCCTTGGCTGGGGGCCCCCAGCGAATCGCGGGGGTCTGCAGCAGCAGGTGCTGCGGGGCCCTTCAAGAGGAGGAAGTACCACTTGCAAGATCCTCAGCAGCATCAACGACAGCAGCAGCAGCAGCAGCAACAGCAGCAGCAGCAGCAACAGCAGCAGCGCTGGATGCTTCGCAAAAGAGGCTTGTCTTTACCCCCTTCGACTCAGCTTCAAATGCAGCGGGTACCCCGCTACAGCCTGAGGGCCCCGAGGGCCTCTCACTGCAGCACTAATGCTGCAGCAGACACAAAGGATAATCTACCCGTTGCTGCTGCTGCTGCTGCTGCTGCTCCCGCTGCTCCTGGTGTCGCTTCTCAGAGCGCGTGCCGCAGAAGCACCAGCAGCAGAAGCAGCGAGGGAAGCAGCAGCAGCAGCAGGCGCAGTAGCTGGTACAGCAGCAGCCGAAACGTCAGCTGCAGCAGCAGGAGCAGCAGCCACAGTCGGAGGGACGGCAACAGCAATAACAGCAGCAGCAACAACAGCAGCAGCAGCAGCAGTACTCGCAAGAACAGCAACAGGCGCTTAGTTACCCTGCCTACGAGCAGCAGCAGAAGCAGCAGCAGCTGTGCCAGCCCCAACCGGCGTAGGAGCAGCAGCAGCAGCAGCAGCAGCAGCAGCACCCCCTCTTGTCCCCTCTGTCGGGGCTCTTCTATCTTTCGCCATGGCTCGCGCTTAGAGCGGAGGGAGGCGCTGCTGCAGCAGCACGGCTTGGGGGCCCAGGGGGGCCCCAGCATTCTTGCTGCTGCACCTGCTGCTGCTGCTGCTACTGGTGCTGCTGCGGATGGCCGAGGCCAGAGGCATCCCCACAGGCAGCAGCAGCAGCAGCAGCAAACAACACAACACCGCCCAACTTGCAACAGCGGCAACAGCAGCAGCACCAGTCAGCAGCAGCAGCAGCAGCAGCAGCGAGGAGCAGAGCAGCGGCGGGAGCTTGAAGCCTTAAGACGCTGTCTCCTTAGCGGGCTCATGCGAAAGGAGAGGCAGCGGTACCTCTGTCCCTTTTGCTGCTGGCAAGGGGACGCAGCAGCAACTGCTGCAGCAGCAGCAGCTGCTGCGGAGGGCAGCAGCAGCAGCTGCTACCGCTTCACCCCACGCAAGGGTCTGGAGGCTGAGGCAGCGAAACTGCAGCAGCAGCTGCAGCAACAGCACCTAATTGATGTTGATGGCCTTGCAGCAGAGCAGCAGCAGCAGTTCTTTGTGAAGGAGGAGCCTCTGCCCAGCCCCAGCAGCAGCATCAGCAGCAGCAGCAGCAACAGCAGCAGCTGCAGCAGCAGCAGCACCGGGGCTGAGGCCTTGCGCGTTGTATGTGAGGGTATAGACTGCCGTTCTCTCTGCAGCGAGGCCAAGTGGGCGGTAGCGGAGTTAGTGAAGGATGGCTGCTTCATATCAACAGCCTTGCAGGCTGCTGCTGCAGTGCAGCAGCAGCAGCAGCAGCAGCAGCGGCAACAGCAGCAGCAGCAGCAGCGGCAGCGGCAGCAGCAGCGGACGCAGGGTCGCGGTGAGGCAAGGGAGGATCCCCGTGTGCAGCAGGACGCAGCTGAAAGGCGCAGTTCATTTGCTGCTGCATGCGCAGCAGCAGCAGCAAACATGGAAGCAGAGGCGGTGAATCAGCAGCTGCTGGATCTGGGGGCCCTAAGGGCTCGCGAAGAAGCAGACAGCAGGAGAGATAGAGAGGCGCAGCAGCAGCAGCAGCAGCTTGTCAGCAGCGCGCAGCCCTTGTGGGAGCAGCACGGCTGCCTTTGTTCGTTCTTAGAGGCTGCAAACCCCTCCCTCTTTGAGGCCCTTACCTCCAGCAGCAGCAGCAGCAACAGCAGCAGCAGCAGCAAGCGGAGCAAAGACGAAGCAGCAGCTCGTGGCCGCGTGCTGCTGCAGCGTTTGTTTGATTTACAGCAGCAGCTGCTGCGCAGCTACACTTGTGCTGCTCCTGCATTTGTTTGTATGGCTGATGAGGAGGCGGGGCGTCTCCTTAGGGCCCTGGGAGGAGACAGAGAGCAGCACCAACATAATATTCATGACTGTCTCCTTATTGCATCTGCTGCTGCTGCTGCTGCTGCTTCAGCGGCTGCTAATGGCGAGGGTGCAGCAGCAAGAACGGCAGCAGCAGCAGCAGAAGCAGCAGCAGACCCAGTACGCGAGGGAGGCAGCTGCAGCAAAATACTCCCCGTGCTGCAGCAGGAGGGCCCCCAGGGGCCCCCCCTGCTGGGGCAGCAGCAGCACTGGCCATTAAGCGAACGGCAACAGCAGATGCTGCTGCTGCTGCAGCAGCAGGCTCGGCACCTCTCTGCTTCTGAGCTGCAGCGGAGCCTAGCGAAGGCCTACTTTGAGCAGCAGGAGAAGGCAAGTTTGCTGCTACTTGTGCTGCTGCTGCTGCTACTGCACCTGCTGCCGCTGCTGCTGCCACTGCAGGTGCCGCTGCTGCTGCTGCTGCTACTACACCTGCTGCCGCTGCTTCTGCCACTGCAGGTGCTGCTGCTGCTGCTGCTGCAGTGTTAGTTTCTTGTGTTCCTGCTGCCTCTGCTTTTTTCTTGTGCTGCATTTGCGGTGTCTGTCTCTAACTCGCTGTCTCTGGTGTCTCTGCATATGTATGTGCTGTTTGTTTATCTTTGCTTGCGCTTCGTTGCATGCTATCTTTCTTTTCTTTTGCTTGGGGCTTTTTAGGGAGACCTTTTGCTGCCGAGGCCTCCCTTGCGCTGCTGCACACAGCAGCAGCAGCAGCAGCAGCGGCAGCAAGAAACACCCCCGGCAGTAGCAGCAACAGTAGTAGTAACAGCAGCAGCAGCAACAGCAGCACTTGTCTGTTTTGGTGTTTGTTCAGGCCCTAGTTGAATCCGCTTTCCTCTCAAACTTAGGGTCTCTTGCTGCCCCGTCGTTGCTGCTGCTGCAGCGGCGGCAGCTGCTGCTGCTGCTGGGGTGGTGGCTGCGCCTCAGCGCCTTCCTCTCTGGAACAGCAGCAGAGCTGCAGCAGCTGCTGCTGCTGCAGCAGCAAGCATTTTCTACCTCTCAAGAGGAGCCCAGCCAGCAGCAGCAGCAACAGCAACAGAAACAGCATAGGAAGCTGCAGCAACAACAACAGCAGCAGCAGCAGCAAGTCGTGTCGCTTGCTGACTTGATGCTACGCCCGCACCCAACACGAGGGCCTTCATACATACAACTGCTGCTGCTGCACCCCAGCGACAGCAGCGCTGCTGCAGCGGTAGCTGCTGCAGCAGCAGAAGTAGGGGCGAAGCTCGACTCTCCAGAACAAGACAAGCAGCATCCTAGCAAGGCAGCAGCAGCAGCAACAGCAGCAGCAGCAACAGCAACAGCAGCAGCAGCAGTAGCAACAACAACAGCAGCACCAGCAGAACCTGCACTAACGGAGGTTGAGGAGATTTCTAGCGACGCTGACGAAGGCCTAAATGGCAGCAGCAGCAGCAGCAGCAGCAGCAGCAGCACTGCATCCTGCTTGAAGAGCTGGGGAGGGAAAGGAGTTATTTCTGTTAGCAGCAGCAGCAGCAGCAGCAGCGGCAGCGGCAACAGCAGCCCTCGTGAAGCCTGTCGCCGCGTCCGTGTTTGTAGGCCTCAGAGGGCCCCCCCAAAGCACCTGCCAGCAGCATCAAGGCGACGCCTGTGCAGCAGCAGCAGCAGCAGCAGCACCACCACCACCAGGAGCAACAGGAGCAGCAGCAGCAGATTGCAATTACTTGCGCGTTCTTTGTCTGGCTGCTCTACAGCAGAACAGCTGGCAGCACAACTGTGGGGTGTCTCCTCCAGCTCATCTCTGCTGTCTCCTCTTGTCGACTGCTGCCGCTGGGAGGTCCGCCTCCCTGAAGCCCCAGGCCTCAAGGGCCTACGCGCAGCAGGAAGAGCCTTGCTTCCTCTGCAGCAGCAGCAACAACAGCGGCAGCAGCAGCGCGAGCAGCAGCACCAGCAAGAGCAACAACAACAACAGCAGCAGCCGCAAGAGCAGCAGCAGCAACAGCAGAAACAGGAGCAGAAGCAGCAGCAGCAGCAACCGGACCAGCAGCAGCAGCAGCAGCAGCAACAGGAGGAGGAGCAGCAGCAAGAGGAGGAGCTTAGTGCATGCGACGCATTAGCTCGATTGTGGCATCTCACATCAGACCCATTTGCTGCTGAGTGCTGCTCTCCCAGAGTGCTGCAGCAAGAGCAGCAGCAGCAACAGGCTCAGGGGGCCCCTGAGGGCCCCTCCGGGGGCCCCAAAAGGGGCATTGAAGGGACCCGTCGGTGGAGTTTGGAGGTAATCTGCTGGTGCTGCTGTTGCTGCTGCTGTTACTGCTGCTTTTGCTGCTGCAGTTGTTACTGTTGCTGTTGCTGTTGCTGCATTACTTGCGCCTGAATGACTCCGTGCCGTCTGTCTCCTTTGTCTGTCTCCTCTTGGTTGTCTCTGCAGGGGCTTCCTAACCTTGTTGCTGCGGGCCTGTGGCTGCCTGCTGTTGCCTTTGTGAGCCCTAAGCAGCAGCAGCAGCAGCTGCAGCATCTGGAGCAGCAGCAGCAGCAGCAGCTGAGAGACCGCTTGTTGTGGGGCCGGCAGCAGCTAATACGCTACGTCTCGTTGCTGCTGCCTCAGCCCCACTCCCACCGCCCCACCAGCAACAGCAGCAGCAGCAGCAACAGCAGCAGCAGCAACAGCAGCAGCAGCGAGGGGACATTAGAGTGCTTGCCTGCCTTTAGGTGGCTGCGCTGCGCAATGAAGGCGATTGAAGAGGGCACAGAGCAGCAGTTCCTGGCGGAGGCCCCAGATGAATTCAATGAAGAGTTTTTTATACCTTAGTCCTCCTCAACAAACAAGCATTCAACAAACAACTATTTATGCAGCACAAGGGCCCTCAGGGCTCTCTACAACATATCCAACACACCTGCGCCCAGGGGCCCATGTGGGGGCCCCCAGGGGCCTTTGGGGGCCCCTGCCGCCTGCGGGGGCCCCTGGAGCCTGCGGGGGCCCCCCGGGCCCTGTGGGGGCCCCTATGCTTTTTTGTTGCTTCTGAGTACTTATGGGGGCCCCTCTACGTTTTTAAGGGGACCCGTATGATTTTTTGGGGGCCCCTTGGGCTTATTATTATTGGAGGCCCTGGGGCCCCTTGGGGGCCCCTAAGTGCCTCAAGGGGGCCCCCATGTTTGTCTTATATAAAGGCTTAAGGTGCTTACAGGGAGACAGCGGGGCCGGGGGCCCCCTTACTGAGGGGGGGGGCCCTAAAGAAATCGCAACATAAATGATGGGGGGCCCTGTAGTACTCAGGGTAGACTATGGGGTGCCCCCAGGGCACTAAGACAGAGATGGGGGCCCACAAAGTACTCGGCACAGCCGAGGGGGGGCCCCCCCTTTGGGGGCCCCCTATACTACCCAGGCGAATGATGGGGGCCCCCCCTGTTCCCCTCTTTCCCTTCTGTCCTCTGGGGTGTCTCCTGAGCTTTGGGGGCCCCTAAAGGCTGCGCGGGGGGCCGTGAAGAGGGGCCCTGGATAGGGTTTAAGACCCTTTCTGGGTGTTGTTTGGTGGTGCAGCATAACAGTGGTTTATATTTATTAATTTATGTAAAGTGCTTTAATATATTTATATTGAAATATTTAAGTATATTGTAGTATATAATATAATATGTTTATATTTTAACATAAATATACTAAAATATATTAAAATATATTAGTGCGTTTATGCTCTGCTGTATATTCCTACACTGTGTAGTATTGTTTTTCTGCTGTATATATATATATATAGTGTATAATATCACTATAGCACAGTATACTACCGTATTACAGAGGACAGTGCAACCCATACTATAGTGCATTTTCATATAATAATATATTAAAAATTATAATATACAATAATTTAATATAATAATATTTTGTTATCTATATATATATATGTATGTATATATATATATGTATATGTATATTATATATATATATATATATATATATATATAAAATATACTGATAGGCATATTTTGTTATAATATTCGATGTATTAATAATTATAATATATCTGAATATAATATTAATAATAATATTATATATTAGTATAATGATACATTAATACAACCTCTAGCTGTTCTATTAATCTTTATGCTTACAGTAAAAGTTAAGCAGATACATGCTGAGGCCCTCAGCCTCCAATAAAAAACTATCTATAGGTAAACTAAAACCAAGTTGAACAGGGGCCCCAGTATGGGGGCCCCCACATGGTAACAGGGGCCCCCAGGGGCCCCCAAATGTTAACAGGGGCCCCTGGGGGCCCCCTCTATCCCTGCGGGGCCGTGCTTGACCCCTAGGGGATCCCCAAGGGGTTTGGGGAGGCCCCAAAGGGGCCCCAAGGGGGCCCCAAATGCTAAGGGCCCCAAAGGGGGCCCCAAATGCCCCCGCAGGGCCATAGGGGGCCCCAAGGGCCTAGGGGGCCCCCAATGCTCCTGGGGGGCCTCCTCAAGGCCCTTGGGGGCCCCTAAGGCCCTGCGGGGCCCCTAAGGGCCCCCGAAGGGCCCGTAAAAGGCCCCTATAAAGGCCCCGGTGGGGTAGGGGCCCCTAGAGGCCCCCTGAGAACTTAAGGGCTCAGCACTTAGGGTCCCTAAAGGGACCCTATGTGTCTCCATGACGGGGCCCCTGAGGGCCCCTAAGGGGCCCGTAGGAGACCTAAGAGGCCCTTAGAGGGCGCTGATAGGGTTTATTTCTGGTAGAGTCTGTTGCACTTGATGCATTGATGTCTTGTCTTATAATTAAGAGCAGAGCACTTCCAGCAGCTCCAATAGAGATGAGGGTGTGTCTTAGGGTTAATAGGGGCCCTGTCTTTGGGGTCGAGGGCCCCCGAGGGGCCCCCGGAAGCCGTAGCTGCGGCTGCTGCTGCTGCTGCTGCTGCTGCAGCAGCAGCAGGTAATGCACTCCCGTCCCCTACAAAAGAATAAGAACCAGAAGATAAGCCAAAGGCCTTCCAGTAATTCTTTAGCTCGCAAGGGGGGGCCCCCAAGGTCGAGGGGGCCCCCAGGGGGCCCCCATTGTTGCTGGTGCTGGGGGCCTCCGAAGTAAATACCCTTCGGGATCTATCAAATACAACAATATGGTCTTCTCCTGATGCGCTCTCAGCTGCTGCTGCTGCTGCTGCTGCTGCTGCTGGTGCTGGTGTTGCTGCTGCTGCTGCTGCTCTAGAAGGGGAAGGAGACGCCCTATGTTTTGAGTGTTCTTTCTTTTGCTTCTTTTTATGTTTACTTTTTTTGCTGCTCTTTTTCTGCTTCTTTTTACCCTCAAAGCTATCTGAGGAGTTTGAACTTACAGAGGAGGAGCGGCTACGTTTCTTCTTATGTTTCTTCGCACTGTCTCTATACCCCTCAAGGCCCCCTTCATATAAACCCTCTCCACTAGGGGCCCCCAGGGGGGCCCCGAGGGGGGCCCCCAGAGGACGCGTCATTGGGGTGTATTCAGGAGACCCTCTACGTATATGGATAGGAGATGTAAAACCACTCTCATACTCCTCTGGGGCCCCCTGGGGGCCCCTATATCCTTTTCTTCTGCGGACCATTGGTCAGACCATAGAGGCAAATAGCAGCAGAAAAGGCATGGAAAGTAGCTGCAGCAGCAGCAACTGCTGCTGCTGCTGCTGCAGCAGCAGAGGGCAGGGTTTCGAGGGGCCCTCAGGGGCCCCCGGGGGCCCCTCTCACGAAGGAGGGATCCTCACGCACACACGCAACAAGATGAGACGAAATGCAGCAGCAGAAGCTGCTGCTGCTGCACCACACTGCTGCAACGGAGGAGAAAGGAGCGGGGGCCCCCAGGCCGCTGCTGCTGTTGCTGCTGCTGCTGCTGCTTACTACAGGATAAGGGCTCGTACTTCGTGCGCATATAAAAGACAAAAAATAAATTAAAAAGAAATAGGATGCCAAATATTTAAAAAGAAAACAGAGGGGCCCCTGGGTAGAAGGGGCCCCAGTCTTAGGCTGTAGGGGTTGACAGACTGCTGCTGCAGAGGTATCTATTAGTATGCCGCATGCAATAGGGGGTTTAAATAAACGAGAAAAGAAAATAAAAGAAGAAAATATAATAATATAAACAAAAGAAAAGACATTTAATGCAATGTACACGCATTTTCGTTAGGGTCTGCAGCAGGGCCCTAAGCTAACAGCTGCTGCTGCTCTACGTGGGGGGAGAGCCGCAGCAAGTGCTGCAGCAGCCCTGCGTCTGCTGCTTCTGCTGCAGCACGGAATTAAAACTATTATTCTTTTCTTGTTTTATTTGCTTCAAGAGTTTTAAAGTGCTTTTGAAGGGGTAGAAGCAGCAGAAGCCCCTAATAAACCTGCTCTTCTACCACCCTCCCAGCGCAGCAGCAGCAGCAGCAGCAGCAGCACACGCGGGGCGGGGGCTGGGAGCTTAATTGTTGTGTTTGAACCTGCTTTTTCTGAAATAAACAATTAATTAATTTATTCTAATGATTAAAATGCAGACAGGCTTAGCGAGAACAGCTGCGAAGGCCCTCTGGGGCGGCGTTCGAGGCCCCGCAGGGCGCGCAGCTGTTGCTGCCTTCAGCAGCAGCAGCAGCAGCAGCGTGTTCTCGGGTGTACGTACAGCAGCAGCAGCAGCGTCTCCTCTCTGCAACATGATCAGGTTAGTCATGAGTGGCGGCTTCGCTCCCGTGCATGCAACAGCAGCAGACGCAGCAGCAGCTGTCCTGCTGCGGTGTCTCGCTGTGGGGCCCCACGGCGTCGCATATAAGTTATGTTTTACGAGCCTTCTCCTGCTGTCTCTTCTAGATCAGGGTTTATTGACGTGTCCTGCTGCTGCTGCTTATGAGGATGCAGCAGCAGCAGCAGCTGCTGCTGCTGTAGTAGGGTTTTGCTCCGGCGTTTTTGTCTTGCTGTGAATGTTTGTGTCGCTGATGTGGCTGGTCCTGCTGCTGTTTGTCTTGCTGCTGCTGCTGTTCGTGTTGCTGCTGCCGCTGCTGCTGTGTGTCTTACTGCTATGGGTGCTGCAGCTGTTTGCTCTGCTGGTGCTGATGCTGCTGTTTGTCTTGCTGCTGCTGCTGTTGTTTGTCTTGCTGTTGCTGCTGTTGTTTGTCTTGCTGCTGCTGTTTGTGTTTCGCGTTTGTTTAGGGGATTGCTTATTTTTTCGTGTTGTGTTCGTTTTGTTTGTTTGTTTTTATTTGTTTGTTTGTTTATGTTCTGATTGGTGTTTGTTTGGCTTTAATCTATTTGTTTTGTTTTAGGCTGTCTGTCCCCTCTTTACATAATATATAAATATATAAATATTATGTATACATATATATGTATTACATATGATATTTATATACATAATATATATTTTCATATATATACATAATAATATTATATATAAAACAAATATACAAACATCAACACCTCTATATAATATCCATATATATATACACATATGCACATATATATATACATCTATTTATATATTTATATATATATTTATTTATATTTGTTTGTGTGTTTAGCCGACGGGGCTTTGCAAGCGTTCAAGGCGATATAGTAGGCATAGACTTAGGGACGACGAACAGCTGCATCGCAGTGATGGAGGGCTTAACGCCTAAAGTTCTAGAGAACGCAGAGGGTTTAAGAACGACGCCGTCAGTTGTCGCATTTACAAAGGAGGGCGAGCGCTTGGTCGGGGTATTAGCAAAGAGACAAGCTGTTACGAACCCTGAAAACACCTTCTTCAGTACTAAAAGACTTATCGGCAGACAGTTTAATGAAGAGGCTATCAGCAAAGAAAGACAAATCTTACCCTATAAAATCATTCGAGCTGATAACGGAGATGCTTGGGTTGAAGCCTGGGGC